AGTAAGGGGTGAGCAGCTTCTTAGAATCAGTTTTTTTGAGTTAAAATAAGCTATTAGAATCAGAAGCTGTTTGAAATAAGTTTAACCAAACAGTCCAAAATAACTTTTTTAAAGCTAAAAGTCATAAGTTAGTTTTGAAAAGCTAAAACAAACACCCCCTATATGAGAAGATTATTTTTGTGCTCGTACAATTGACGCCGTCTGTGGGAAAGATCAAAGAACAAACCTTTTGATTGAGTTTTTTTTCAACTGATTTCAATGGCGCACAACGAAGACTTGCCTCAATCTACTATAGATGGGCAAACCCCGGAAGGGGGTGAGAGGCGCGAAGGTTTACCTTCTATCTCACCCATGGCAGAATAAGATCCCTAACGAAGGAGTCCGCGGAGAGAAGCGAGAGAAAAACGGGGCTCAAGTCTACACCGCTCTTAAAGCCTTGATAGATAGAGACGGGAGATGGATCCTCAAGTTCTTAAAGATCACGTAAGGGAGTAAGACGAAGTAATAAGAAGAATGGCGGCTGACATAGAGTCTATGAAGAGCTAGATAAAAGGCAAATGGGTGGCAGCAAAAGAAGGGTGCAAATGCAACATATACTCTTGCCACTCAGAAGATCGTGACAGACAAGTCACACCATCACAAACTGAAAGTAGAAACCTTAGGTCGGGCGATACACAATCAAAGACTTCCAGGACACGCTACTCTAGGCCTGAGAGAATGAGGATTAAAGGGCTCGAAGAAGAGAAGACACTCAGGCTCGCGACCCTCGCAGAGTCTTCGCACTACAACGATTGGCTCCTAGGACACATAGGAGTGTCGAGGTTGGAATTCCAAAGCTACGCCTTGCCTATGAACCAGCAGACAAAGCGTTAGCTAGGTTGCAGAGCTCACCGTTCATTCCAACAATAGAGAATGTACCATTACCCTCAGGCTTCCACTAGCCCAAATTCACTACTTATGAGGGGAAGTCGGACCCCTACATACACTTGAGCCACTTTTACCAGGTTATGGCCATGTATCGGTGAAACGAGGCTCTAATGTGTATCCTGTTTCCTTCCAGCCTTGGTGACCTGGGTTTAACGTGGTTTGAAAGGTTGCCAGAAGGTAGCATAGCTTCGTGGGCGCAACTAGCGGAGGCATTTGTGACCAGATTTAGAACGAATACCAAGACACCAATGGAGATTGACCAACTTCTCTCCATAGACATGGGCGAGAAAAAAACATTGAGGTTTTACAATAACCAGTATTGGGAGACTTTTAATCAGATTGGAGATTGCCCTACAAACCTAGCTATCGCACAGTACAAACGAGGTTTGCCGGCTGGCAATAAGTTAAGGGATTCAATGACAATGACGTCGCCCCTTACTATGGAAGCCCTAATGGAGAGAGTGCACCAACACATCCGGGTAAAGGAAGATGGGCCCGCACCAAGGCAGAGTCCGGCGCAACAGTGATACCAGACAAAAAGCCTTTGGTGAGAGTTAACACGGTTGACAAGTATGACTAATCGCGCAAAAATCTTTGCCTAACTAGGGGCAAAGTGAGTTGGCAGGTTTGACCAACTCTTTCTAAATAAGTCTTTGCCCGACTGGGGGGCAACAAAAAAGGTCAGCAGGTTTGACCAACATTTTTTTCATTCCTAAGCCGAGATAAGGATCTAGGCTGCAGGAAGTTGGCAGGTATGACCAACATTTAGTTCTCTTCAGTCGAGATAATGATCTAGACTGAAGAAAGTTGGCAGGAATAACTAACATTTAGCTCTCCTAAGCCGAGATAAAGATCTAGGCTGCAGGAAGCTGGCAGGTGTGACCAACATTTAGCTCTCTTCAGCTGAGATAAGGATCTAGGCTGAAGAAGATTGGCAGGAATAACCAACATTTAGCTCTCCTAAACTGAGATAAGGATCTAGGCTACAGGAAGTTGGCAGGTATGACCAACAAAACTCTTGCACTCTTTGGCCGGGATGACAGTTACCTCAGCCAAAGTAGGTTGGTAGGTTTGACCAACAAATTTTTTGAATTTTTCAGCCGAGATGAGTATCTCGGCTAAAGAAGGTTGGCAGGATTAGGTAAGGCCAAGCTAATTAGTTTGTCTAGGCATGCGGTCAGAATGATGCAAAACATTGAAAAATAAACACAGTAACCGAGCAAAGAGATCAAAAATTTTCATTAATTGGAAGATGATTACAAAATGTGGGACATATAACCCGGTTACACTAAAAGAACGCCTTCTCATATGATTGCGAACTCGAAGGATATAAATATTGAAGGCAAAAAGGCGGGGCTGTTCAAAATTTTGAAGGCACATGACGGTTGTAACAAGAGAACGAGGATAATTGGGACACGCTACGTATCTTGGGAATGACGTCGTGCCAGATTAGTGGAAGAACATGTTGAGCAACTGACAGGGCTTATTGGGGCCGAACGAGCTATGAAATCAAACAACTTTTTAGCTCGGCAGAGTGGGGCGTTCTTAGCTCGGCTGGAGGAAAAATAATCTCAATCATGCGATGCAGATGGAATTAAGGGGCAATTGAGAGGGTAATTTGTAAACAAATTTGGCCGAGCTAGGAAGAGTCTTCTTTGGGAGTTGGGTCGTGTAATGGGCCGAGATAAGGGATGGTGTAGCTCGGTCTTAGGCCAAGAAGACATCTCATATTTCGAGTTTGGGCCGAACTATGGACCGAGGTAATTATTTATGTAGCACGATCCTTGATCATCTAAACATCGGGTCGGTCAGAGATGGGCTACCAGTGACCTGACCTAGCTATCCTGGACCGAGGTATCAGTGGAGGGAGGACCGAGGTGAAGGATAGCGCTGCAGGATGTCATCTCAAAGTCAAGACTAACAGTGGTGCTTAAAGTATCACCGAGCTATATGTGCACGGTTGACCGCAATGTCAGCCGAGGTAAGGGTTCAACCATCTTATTTGGCTTGCAGTGATGATGCTGCTTTAGGGATAATCATTATCCTTGGGCTTGAGACTCCTAGAAGGACTCTGCTAAGGAGAGTAGGGTCCTGCTAGGATTGTGCAAAACCATCTCACTTGGTTGGTAGAGAGTAGGAGTGCGACTCCTAGGAGGACTCTGCTAAGGAGAGTAAAGTCCTACTAGGATTGTGCAAACCATCTCACTTGGTTGGTAGTCAGTAGGGTGTGTGATTCCTAGAAGGACTCTTGTAAGGAGAGTTGGAATCCTACTAGGATTGTGCCAAGTAAAGTTTATAAAAGCTCATGACCAGATCTATGTACATGTATCCCAATTCTTACTTCTAGAATACACAGAGCTTATTGTCTACTGTCTAGTTGCTGACTTAGTTATCGGTGGGATTTCCGGCACACAGCCGCCGGTTAGCTCACATTTGTGCTTTCAGGTGACAAAGCGACGATGTTTGGAAGAGTGCAAACTTGATTAATAGGATTATACGAGAATATTATTTCTGTGCTCGTACAGATATAAAATTTTGTAATGGCAAACAACATCACTCTACTATGATTGAACGATGTGAACTTACGCGATGACGACGATTGAAAAACGACATCACCAATGAGATCGATATGAAGTTCTACAACAATAAAGAATGCCATTCGTTGAGAATTGAACAATGTGAACCTGTGATGATGACTAACAGTGGGTTTTAGCGATTTCATTCCATCTTGAGCAAGTAGTCTAATATCAATTCTAATACAAGAATATGGTTGACATTGTGTAGATACTTATAGGGTTGTTTTTGTAACTTTGCAATTTATAGAATTATAAAAAAATTAGATAGAATTAATTAGAAAATAAGTACAAAAAATGATAATTTATGAAAAAATGCCCCATAATATAAATATTACATAAATTGAAAATAACATATTTTTATAATTTTTAAATACTTTATATATTTTTAGAGTAATACTACGAATTCATCATTACCTAGAATCTTATTTGTTATTTAGATTTATTCTACATATAAATCTCACATTATACAAATTTAATAACTATACCACAATCCCATCCGGGATAAATTCAAAAAATGCCCCATAATATAAATATTACATAAATTGAAAATAACATATTTTTATAATTTTTAAATACTTTATATATTTTTAGAGTAATACTACGAATTCATCATTACCTAGAATCTTATTTGTTATTTAGATTTATTCTACATATGAATCTCACATTATACAAATTCAATAACTATACCACAATCTCATTCGGGATAAATTCAGAAAAGTTAAGGGTGAGTATCTAAAATTATTTATATTTTAATGGGGGATTTATATATAGGTTTTAATAAGTAAACTTATTATCTAATAAATTTTATAATAATTAGACGTTTTCCATTAAACACTATTAAAAAAAGGTTATTAATTGTTAATTTTCAACGATAATTTAAAAATTATTCAAAAAAATCACTAATTATAAGTTTTAGCGATAGTTTAAAAAAAGCGTTACTTTAATTTTCAGCAACAGTTCGAAAAATTTATCACAAAAAGTTATTAATTGTAAGTTTTAGCAATAATTTATAAAAACTGTGACAAAAAAGTGACTAATTATTAATTTTTAGCACATAGATAAAAAATTGTCAAAAAAAATTTATTTTTAACAATAATTTTATTATAATTTATTTTTAATTAAACTTGATGAGAATTAAGTAGGTGTTTGAGATAAACTAAAAAAGTACACTTTTTTTTACCTTACATACACTTATTTTGGTTATATTAATCAACATATTTTCTTTACTTTTCTAATTATTTTCACTATTTTTTTACATATTTTTTTTTATAAAAAATTTAAAAATATATTTATTTAAAATACTCTAAACTATCCCTAAGCATAACTATTAAAATTTATGGATAATTTATCTTATTTTTTATTCGGTACAACTTGTCCAAGCATATTTTTAGTTATTAATTAGCAAGTACACGTGTCACACGAGGATTTCATATGGGAATAAATCGGCAAAGTAGAGCTTTCTTTAAGTAGACGATTAATTGAGCGGCCTGAGACCACTCACCCATAACCATTTCACACAAAACCCAAGCTGCCCGCGCGAGTTTCAGTCCTCAGCTCTCTCTCTCTCTCTCTCTCTCTCTCTCTATCTAGAAAGTCTATGCGATCACGGCCATGAATTCGAGCTCTCCAAACCCTCAATCCATGGCGAACTCAACACCAACCGACTCCTCAGGCAAGAAGGTGAGGAAACCCTACACCATAACCAAGTCCAGAGAGAGCTGGACCGAAGAAGAACACGACAAGTTCATTGAAGCTCTTCAACTGTTGAGTTCTTCTCTCTCTCTCTCTCTCTAATTTTTTTCTTCTGTTTCAATTTTTTTTAATTTGTTTATGCATATAACCTTGCTTATACAGTTATATATGTGGCTTAATTTGTCTCGAGTGTGATGGTTATTTTGGGAATTTTAGTAATCGTTTTTTTATTTTTTATTTTAATCAGCAATTTTAGTAGTCGATTTGAGTTCATTTTCTGCTGGCTTGTTGCTTCTTTTCAATAACATTTATTATTTTCATATTTCAAAATTTTATGTGGCTGATATCTGCTTGTCTATGTATATACTGGCGGTGGTGTAAATGGGATGCGTTTTTAATTTTTGAGCTAATTTTTTGGATGATATAATGATAGAGATAAACATGGGCAAAAAAAAAAAAAAATCTTGTCAAGATTTGTGAAAAAATAAATTTCTCTTATATTTTGCAAGAAATTGTTACTTGTTGTACGGAAACTTTAGTTTCTATTATTTTCTAGAACTCTCTATCTAAGCAAAACCATAATTTTTTTTTTTCCTTTCATTTTTCTGTACTATCTATCTAGCCAAACTAAGCCATAGAGATTGTTGTAGAAGGACAGTTTGGAAATGAGAAGGGCATTCTTGGAAAGGGAAAAACGTGGCAATTCACACCAACTTAGGTGCATACTTTATATAGTAGAATAGAATGGACAAAATAGAATAGAATAGATAATAGAAGTTGTGGTGCATAATTTATTAGATGAAAACTAAAATTTCAAATTTGAATCACTAAACACATAAAATTAACTAAACATCTCATTTTCTTTAATTTTTAAAATTATTGATAGACAAAAGAACAAAGGCATTAAGTTTTATACATTTTTTCGGAGGCATTGTTTGAGGTCTTTTGAGAAAATATAAATGGGTCCTTTTTAATTTTTGTACATTTTAATTTTTATTTATAATTTACTTTTTCACTTCTTGAGATGCAAAATTATACTATGTCTTTATGTTCAAGTTTTCTGACATAGCATTTTCAAATTTATATTATGCCTGATACATTATTTTTTTCTCGTGACCTAATCAATCTTAGGTGTAATTTTACAGTTTTAATTTAAAAAAAAACTTCTTTTTTAAGAGTGAATGTTATAATTGTTGATAATATCATGATTTAAACTTTTTATATGATTCAATACATCAATTAAAGGTATATTCTTCTATTTGCAAAACTTATTTTAAAACCTTTAATTTTTAAAATAAATGTAAACCATGAATATTAGAAAGAATAGTGCCAGAGTAACCACATTTGAGTACCATCTTTTGTGACACCTCACATGACACTAAATAAACATTTGATGGGTCCCACCTTTCATTTAGAAAGCGCCATCACTAATATTTTGTAGAGTTCATCGCATGATATGGTTAATGTGTCAGGTGTCATTACGATAACATTACTATATGTGGTCATTAATGTGGTCACGACATTACTACATCAGAAAGAGTAATGTTTAGGATGACATTCAAGATTAAGACAATATTTTTTCAAATTATCATCATTTAGTGATTTTCTTTTTGAAGTTATATAGAAAACAAAAAAAAATCTGTATATTTTGCAATTGCAAAAACTACTCCAATTGATTACTTTTGAGTTTATCAATTGTATTTCAACTGCTGATTTTGTTTTGATATGTACACTGTATAATCATAATAATAATAATAAAAAAATGTATTTAAAAAAATAAGGCTTTTTTCTACATGGGGCCTTGGGCGAGCACGTAAGTTTCTTTAGGGTTGAGGTGCTATAGTGTTTTTTCTTCTCTGCTTGGGTGTTGTAAATGCAACACAACACCCAAAAAATATATATATACAAATATATGCTGAACCCCTTAAACAATGCCAATCAATGACTCCTTTTTCTATGCATTCCTGTCTAGAATCCTCACTGAAATTTTTTCAGCCATTGGTCACTAATCACTTATCAGTGAGGCCAATTATCTCAATAGCAAGGATGGACACCCCTCTTGTCTAAGATAGCAAGTTACCAATATCAAAGAAAGATTGAAGAGAAGGTGAAGAAATAAATAATAAAAATTTACACAAAATATATTGTACTAATATATATTGAATTTGAATGTAATAATGAGAAATCCTGCATGCACATACATTTTTACATGCATGTGTAGGATAGGTAAAGACACGTAATCAAGGAAGAGAAAAAGAAATGTAGTTAAGGAAGAGAAGATGAAGAAAGGATACTGACCTATTTTAGTCCAAAGACTAAGCTCACTATTGACATGAGGCACATCATTCAACTACCATTTACCACACTACCAACATATTGTATGTTGGATTCCTTCAAGAAGCTTGCCCTGCATACACTAGAGGTACCCCTACCCCAATGTAGGAGATCTATGAAGGCACTCATTGAATTTTCACCTCGAAGCAAAGATTATCCATGCTCATACTTTATTGAAAAGTTACCATTATGGAAATGTATAGAGAATACCTTACGGTGAATACCTGTGGCTTTGGTTCATGAGAGATGAAGTTGTAATTGAAAGGAGTTTTTATTTTTTATTTTTTTAGACAGTGTAATTGGAAGGAGTTATATGAGACATTAGAGAATTATGGGTGGTTGTGGGTTTCAGGATGATGTTAATTTTTCCAAAGTAATTAATATGGATTCATTTTTAGCATGACATAGCTTCAAAATGAGGTCTACATCAAATTGGATTGCTGGCTTTATATATTAGTATATATATATGTGTGTTTCTTTTGGTTGATTTCATAATTTAGTTGTTCTGTCTGGTTGTTTGTACATTGAGAGGGATTAAATGATGAGTGGTGTAGATGATTTTAGTCTTGACCACTCTAATTTGGATTGTTTGAACATCAATTTTGTGACTTTAGTACAGGAGGTTCAGTAAATTTGGATTGGATGTCTTAGCTAAATAATGAATTTTTATTAGGTCATTGGAAATTGAATAAAATGTTGCATTCATATCGTTCATAGTTTTGAATCAGAGATAAATTTTATTAGGTCATTAGAAATTGAATAAAATGTTGCCTTCAAAGTGTTTGCGGCTTTGAATAAATGAAAAGTTGATTGTCACACAACTCACAAAAGTCTAGCGCACTATTATTTGAACTAATTGGTACACGAGGCATGGATTTGGTTGATTAGTTCTATTGGGAACCGTTCTAGTGCCAGGTTCACTTCCAATTTCTCCTTTACTTTGGCCATTGTTGTTACGATTATAATAGGGTGAATTGTTGTTGTTGTTTTATACTTTGTGGGAACTTGAAAGAAACATGACCTATATGTCCTTTGTTTTCTTGGGCTATTAGAACCTTTACTGCATAAATTATGTTTTGAATTCAATTATTTGACAAATCATTTGGGTTATTCAGGTTTGACCGTGACTGGAAAAAAATTGAAGATTTTGTTGGTTCAAAGACTGTGATTCAGGTGCTTATATCATCATGTTGTGAAGTCTATAATGACTTTCTTATTTTTAAATTGAAGATGTCATTATATGAATTTGTTGATTATCCAGTTAATGTAAAAATTGTTGGGATCTGATTGAGTATTAATGAAGCTCATGTCTTTTTTTTTTTAGGTGATTGGTAGACTCAATATATTGCATGTTTAGTTCTCATCATCCTTACCTTAATTTTATTTATTTTTCCTTCTAATCTTTATCGACTTACATGTTGGCATCCTCTATATTCATGGAACTAAGCTTCATTGACTATCTCTATCTTTACCCTGTATTTCTTATTCCTATGCTATCTTACCAGAAAATGCTAATACCCTAACGCATTACGTATTGGTACGCACGTTTCAAAACATGGTACACTTTCATTCCAAAACGATAAATTTAGTGATCCGAAGCGATTCCCAAATTTTTTTCTAATATATTTCCTTAAATGTTAACTTAGGAGAAAAAAAAATCAAATATATGAACTAAAATTTAAGGTGAGTTAAGTTTTGACAAGACAAACAATAAAAAATGGGTCATAATTTTCATAGAAATGATTTGCTACATGAAATAAGAAGAAATTTTTTTATTGAATACTTAATTGTTAAAACAAAATTACTCTAAAAATACCTTAAATTCTTAAGTGTAATATATACAAGTCTGCTCCTATCATACCACATTTTAGAGCATGTGGCGTACCCTGTTCCCGTTCTGTGTACCGGAACGATCCACATTCTAGGTAACATAGTTCCTATGCATGAGCTTAGCCAATATTGACAGCTTTCCATTCAAGCTAGACAGTCAGTAATTGCAGTTTCTCCATTATACTTCATCTATTGCCTCATGCCACAATTAGTGCATTTTCTTTGTTTATTTATTTGTGTTTGGTACTTTGCACTTATTTATCTTTACAGACCTTTCAGTATTATTTACTTTGAATAGGTTGCATATATAAGTGCTTTTATGTCATGCAATAAAACACCTCACATTAGTAATTTAGTTGTTTCTCTTTTACTATGAAGTTTACTCAGTGAATTTTAGTCTATGCTTGTGTGTTGCCTCTGGTACAGTTTAGGTGTTTCCTTGCCTTTCTGGATTATCAATAGCTTATGTAGGTATTAGGCAACCAGTTATGGCCTGTCCTGGCATAGGGTTAGACAATGGTTCCTTAGCATGGCGCAAGTTGTGGTAGCTTATTGTTGCATGGGTCTACTGGACAGTCTGGGCAATAAAGTAAATAGTTGCCACCATGCTGTGTTGTTTGGTTGAGGGTGGCTTTAGCATTCTGATTACAGTGTTATAGATGAGACACATTTAAGAGGAAATATTGAAGAAACGGGAAATGGGGAACGTAATTGTAAATGTATGGAATGCAAGTGAGTGCAAGTGAGACATATGCCCAGTGCAAACTGATTTGCAATTACTTTCTCTAATTTCCATTTATCTGATATTTCCCCCACATTTAAACTTTTTCTGTCCGTTCTGTCGGTCAACTGATTAGTTCTTAAGTGGGAAGTTTTAGTCCAAGAATCAGCATGACCAAATGATCTGAAACTGCTTTTAAATCATTTGATTTTCAGAACTTATCAAGTCCCTAAAAGTTAATTATCCTTTTGTGGTTGGATGTTATTGTTCTTCTCCCTGTCTTTTTTTCTGTGTCATTGTTCTGTACAACCACTTATTCTTTTTGTTGCCTAACATCTGTTATTAGCTTTTGGATATTTCCAATTCCAACATCTGAAGAATGTTCATATATGCAATTTATCACTGCAGGCTCTTTATATATCTTGGCTAAATAATTCCATTTGCAGATCCGAAGTCATGCCCAAAAATATTTTTTGAAGGTCCAAAAAAATGGGACTATTGCACATGTGCCACCACCTCGACCTAAGCGCAAAGCTGCTCATCCTTACCCGCAAAAGGCACCAAAAAATGGTTTGTTCCATGATGAAGATGAAAGTACATATGGCAGAGGATTTTATTTGAATTTTGGTCATTCTGACATTCTATTTCTTTTAAAAATTGGCAGTTTTAGCACCATTGCAAGCTTTCATGGCTTATCCTTCTTCATTGAATTCCCTTGCACCTGGATATTCCCCATGGGATGACACTTCCATGCTCATACACTCTCCATCAGGTGGAATCATGCTATCCCAGGATGAATACAATCTTCATGGAGTCGAAGGCATGCATAAGTTTTTTTTTTTGGTGTTATTTCTCCCTTGTTCATAGATATATGTATATTTTTATTTGAGAGAACTTTCTTGTACTTATTATGGCATACAATTTTACTGCTTCAGCTGATATTGGATTGAAGGGGGCAGCAAGGATTAGTAACAGCGGCATTGATGGCACCGGAAGCTTGAGTAGAACAATATCCAGTTCTGAATTATCAAAGCAAGGGAAACCAGGTTCATTGTTTCACGGTAATCTTCTCAACTGTATTGATGATTGGTTTAAATTAGTCAATCATGGTGAAGTTTTAGACTTGCAGCTCTATACTAAAGTGGCACAACTTGCTCTCTCCACAATGTTTTTCTATTTATATTATGCGCTTTAGATACGTGTTATCTAATTTGTATGTTAGTGCTCTCCTATCTTACTTACCCTATTTGTATTGTTGTACTTGTAGTGCAACATGTGTCATAGGGAACTTTTTTTTTCCAGTTCCTAAGATTTGGCAATACTGGAAAATGTTACTCTGAAAGAATTTTCCATGCCGGTAACATACTGGTTTTGGATTGTTTCTCTTTGGGTTACTGGGGTAGTTTGATCTGAGTTTTTATCAGTATGAGTCCACTTAATTGCCTAACAAATTTTCAATAATGATGGTTGATAGAAACTATAAAAGTTGTGAAGCAATTATATCGCTCATTTATATGTCAATTATGATTTTTTTCTTCTTCCTCACCCTACTATGTTGCATGGACTTGGGTGCAGGTGCATCCACTTTTTGAAAATATCCATTATTTTGGAGTGTTAGCAAGCATGCCCATACCTGTTTGGTTTAACATGAGTACTGTTTGTCTGGCTGACGTAGTATTCATTTATTCAACTACTAATGAATAAAATAACTCATCTGTTATTCCTCTCATACACTTATGCTTTTCAGTTAATTTTTTTTTAGGTATACCAGATTTTGCTGAAGTCTATAGCTTCATGGGAAGTGTCTTTGATCCAGACACACAAGGCCATGTGCAGAAGCTCAAGGAGATGGATCCTATCAACTTTGAAACTGTGAGTAAATTCAAATTTTGCAGTCTCGATTGTCTAATTTTCAAGCAGATGATGCCTCTTATTCATAGGATGTGTGTTTAATACTTGATTTATTATCAAATGAGTAGTAATTAGTGATAGCATCTGTACATAAGTGGCTATTGGCTCAAAACAAGCCAATGTGGTTGATAAAGTGACATAACTAATAAATCATCTATAAGGATGGGGTATAAAAGAGGACCTGACTGATGGTTTTGGATGAAATGGGAAAATGCATTCTGGAGTATTGTTGTTGTACTCACGTTAAATGAGGTGAAATATTTTTTAAACTAGTAGCAAAGAGCTTGAAGAAAATGGTGTTGCTAAAATGATTATTCCAGACGGAGAATTGAAGATGAGAAATGGTAGTTTTCACTTAGCAGATGGAGAAAAAACGTGTCGAAGCATCTAATATGATTTGCATTTTACCAATTGAAACAAAACCGATGGCTGCCCATACACGGCGTTGACTTAATTCAAGGTGAAGGTATTGTTAGGAGATAAGGAAGGCTGATAAAAATTTAGATTGGAGCTATGAAGTATGGACACCTCTCTCTCTCTGGAGATGACGTACAGGTGTTGGACACGGACACGCACCGGACATGCTCCAAACACGTATTGGACATGCTGGGACACTTGGGACACGCTATGGATACAGTCTTTTCAAAAATTAAATAATATATATATATATATATTTATATATTTTTACTAAAATAGTATACCTAAGGTTGATAAATTTTATAAAATTAAATATTTGACATAAAATTAATATTAAATATTTAAAAATATGACATGTAATAAATATATAAAATTATATGTTTTGCACGTGTCCTCAACATGTCGTGTCTTGCATTTTTCGAAAATTTACGTGTCCGTGCTTTTTAGGTTGGAGGCAGTAGAGAAGGCATGTCAATGTATGATTTATCTGAGGTATCCCCTAATATATGTTCAATTTTACACTTGCATTTAAAGATATGACGTAACAAATCTTGAGTAATTGGTTGATGCTTTTGGATTTTCAAGGCACACAAGTCAATAAAGTAGAATAACAGAAACCGAAAAACTAGAAAAAGCTTTTGATGTTTGTAAAATTACATACTTTTAACAATAAGTATAATGTCTTGCATAATTTATAAAGGCATCATTCTGACTGAAAATAGGCCTCTAAAGATTAAAAAAAGCAGTTCAACAAAATATTATGTAGCATTACACAATCTCTGGATTGATAGTTGGCTTGGCCTTGTTCTCTCTCTTTTTAGTCCTCTCCGCACTGGATCCAGCATCCCCTGATGGATATTGTATAAAATGATAATGCATTAAATCCTTGTTCTAGCCCTTAGAGGTTCTTATATAAGGTGGACCTCTATAAAAGCTTTAGCTGAATGGTAATTGCTGGTTTGTAATACCTTGCCATTCTTATAGTTTGATGGCTCCTCCTGCTGTTAGTCATCACTAGTATTTTGGACAGCCCAATGGAATTCTGTATACTTCTTTTGCATTCTCACCAAAAAACCAATATTTAATGGAGACATAGAAGAAAGTGTGTTTGGTTAGTTTTTGTTAACTTTTTTGAATTTTCTTTTTTCTAGTTGTCTTTAGTAAACTTTTTCATATTTGACTAAAAATCTTTTACTTTTTAGATGCACCTAAAAAGTAAAATATTTGTGAAAAATAGTTAATTGAAGACCGGGGGGGGGGGGTTAATTACACTGGGGGGGGGGGGGTGGTTTGGTTAATTACACTTTACCTCGTGGTTTAGCTTGGAAACACATTACCTCCCTAAGGTTTTGAAATATACACATGGTTGCAGTTCAGAGTAAAATTCAAAAGTAAAGAATTCTCTCAAAACTTCACTGTTTGTGTAACATGCACTAAATTAAGTGCATGTGACAGGACATGAGTGATATACGAGTCTTTTGCCCTTTTATTTTCTCTTCTTTTCTTCATTTTCATGTTCCTTCCAGCTCCTCCCCTTCACTGTTGCACAGTTCACGCGTCATCTCCTCTCTTTCATCTCCTTGTCTTCCTCACTTCCTCCAGCAACCCAAGCCCACCATTGCTGAAACCACCATTTTTCCATGTCATTACACACTTGTACAGAGGCACTTACACAACTCCCACCTTTCTGAATCAAGAAACCCAAAGGAGGCAATACTTTTTTCAATTGCACATGTACCTTCACACACTTGTGAAGATAACTTTCTCTTTGACAACGACGTGCAGATAAAAGCTATGAGTTTTATTTTTTCATTTATTTTTTATTTTTTATAATTGTTTTTTAGAATATTAACTAAACACACAGGAGCATCTTTCAATGAGGCAGCAGCAGTCGTTTGTTTGTAAAGTTAGAGATTCAAAATGTTTCTCGGTTTATTACTGTAAGCCATCTATTGAAACCCAAAACCATCAAATCCAAAATTGTACCATTTGAAGTTCATGGAAACGCCATAAGCGTCTATATGGATTATTTCGTAAGGGGAAGAAGGAGATGGGTGTGAGTTTGGTAAGTGTAATTGGTAAAGGATTTGGCCTTGGAAAGGGTTTGTGATGCTTTATAATTTTTAGAGAGAGAGTTTGTAGTGATGCTGTCATTGATAAGAAAATTGGAGGAAAAAAGGGGCAGTATGGACATTTTGTAAAATTTCTTTAACAGAGTTTAGCTTTGCATTTTACCTTAGACCATAAGGAGGTTAAGTGTACATTTTTAAGCTTCAAGGAGCTAATGTGTTTTTTGGCTAAACTACAAGGAGGTAAAATGTAATTAATCCAAAAAAGGAAAGAAAAAAAATAAAATTAGCAAAAAAAAGCAAAAAAGTGGTAGTTTTTATTTTTTTTTGGGGTCTTTAATTAACTTTTTTCATAAATATTTACTTTTTGGTGTATCTAGATTAAGCATGTCTAATAAGTTAAAAAAATTGATGAAAATATTTTAAAAATTATTAGAGGCACATACAAAAGCAAAAAGCAAAAAATTGAAAAACAGTTTTTTTAATTTAAAAACCAAACAGGCAAATGATTCTTAGCAGTGGCAGGCACACATGCACTCTGTGTTGCTTGCATTTGCACAATGGCCCCTTTGATCTCTAACATGAAACCTTAAGCTTGACGTCAGTTGGGTCAATTTGGATTTTATTAATGTCATTCAATTGGAAGGATATTGTTTTGCAACTGAACATCTTTGTCTTTTTGGGTTCTATCTACGTGCAGGCTTTGTTGCTGATGAGGAATCTCACCATCAACTTGTCTAGCCCTGATTTTGAGCCAATTGTAAGTATTCTTCTTCTTCAATGATTTGGTGAAATGCTTCACGTGACAACTCTTGCAATACTGTTAGGCCATGTTTGTTTGGGTGCACATGAGTTTGGGATTGAACTAATAGTCTAATAAAATTATTAATCCGATGTTTGGTTAAACAATTGAAGGACGGGTTAGTAATCCATCCGGATATGATATTCCACATATGATGGATTATTCAATCCCACAGAGGGGGGGTGGGATATAAATTGGAGGACTAAACCAAAGTTTGGACTATTAGTCTCTCTTTATAATCCTAACTCAATCCAAACATAGGATATGATACACAATCCAAAGGGATTCGTAGTCCTAGGACTATTAGTCATGGGAATACTAATCCAACCTAATTCAGTCCGTCCAAACAAACATGACCTTAATGTTTAATATTTTGCTTATCACTCTTCTAAGAAGTTCTAGCTTGCTGTGGCCCTGTATTTCGTAAATATAGTTATTTTCATTGACTGTTGCAGAGAGAGGTCCTGTCGTCATATGATGTCAATTCCAAAACTGTAGGAATTGCTACAGGAAATGTCATGAAGAACCAAGAAAAATGAGCTTTTGTGCTGAAGTGTTGAGCACTACTTATAAGCTGCCATGTAGTATGTATCTTTCTTTGATCCCCTCAACAAGATCTCCAATTTGTGGTTACTGGGTTGACATCTAACTTGAATATATGTGTTTCTTCATCAGCATTATAGAAGAGAAGTCTGACAGTGCTCTCGCGGCATGCTCTGAAATCCACTAGTTCAAGGATATAGAAATGCCGCTACAGTTGTAGAATCGGAGAGTATTGCCAGATGAAAGGAAAACATCCTCTGATTTTCATGCCTTAAATGATATGAATATCCAAAGGCTGACTGGCAATGTTTTGTACCGGTTTTAATGATCTGGGTCTGTTAGCAGATTGTATGTATGTCTTGTAGGATCTGTCGGTGGCAATTTTAGCTTTCTTGAAAATATAATGTCAGTCTCAGTTTTGTGTATTATAATTTGCCAAGGCAATGTAGCTTTAAGAATTGGGGTTGTAATAACGATGGTTATGTTTTCTTGATCTTTAAGAGCATGGTTTTGTTGTTTTTGTTATATGTGAGAACCACCTTCGACTTCTTGATTTTCTTGCCAGTTATATTGCATCATAGAAGACAAATTAATGATGACTTTATATTATGTGTTTGAATCCCTGAAAATCTTCCTTCAACCCAAATTAGGCTTGAGGAAATCCCGGTTTTATTACAGAGTATATTGATCGCTTCTACTGGAAATCTAAATTTGATAGAATTGTGCTGATTTATTAGTATTTGTTGATAGTAAGTGAGGTTGTGCAGTGTGCACTGGGGGAAATTTCTCCAGTTGTGATGTTTGTACTTTGTGTAGTATGTAATTCGTTTTTATATTTCTAGTTGACTGATATTCCAGAGAAGAAATGGGATAATGGCCATAGAATTGCGGATGAAGTTTGGGATTTTGTGACTGTTAATTTCTCTTTCCCCTCCCTCTAAAGGAGAGACTGAATTGCATGGTGGCCAAAGCGATGCAAGTCTCCAACAAAGGATTAAATTCTTTACCGATCCCCCATAAATCATTAATTTGCTGTTAGGAACCGAACTGAATGTCCAGTCTGGGTTTCAAATGTGTGCGACTTTCGTATTTTTATTTGGAAGAGGCTTTTCTCTAGTCTACTGTGTGGATTGGAGCATATTATTGTGCCTGTGGGGCTTATCACGGGTCACGTTTTGATGATCTAAACTCTTTATATTTTTGTCAATGGTAAATATGATTTTGAAAATAAATTGTTAACAAAAATGTGTTCCGATCAAAGGACTATTGATATTCGATTAATGTGATTTTTTTTTGGCATGAAATACTCGACGAGTTTCACATATTGAACGGTTCGAATTATCGAAACGAGACTCGTGGTGGTTTTCACGGACCCAACAATACGCTCTAGTCTGGAGAGAAGTCTCTCTTTTTATTCAATGGTTTAGAACTTGTCCACCTACCTACAAACTCAATTTGATCCATTATTTAATAGGTTAATAGGTAAGTAAAATTTAAATTATTAATTTACAAATGGTGCTACTAGGAGCACCTCATTTTTTCCTTTTGGATCCCAATTTCTTTCATTTTTTTTATTACAATTTTAACCTAATACAAAATTTCAATTTCATCCCTATCATCTCTAACTTCCGAAAAACATATCCAAACCCTAATCCTAACCTTACCCCCATTGTCCCAAACGAGCCATTACCAACTCCAACACAATTTCCCTCATCATTTACAACAACAGCAACCCATCTCTACCTTCGTTCTGCTTTCATGGCCCAATAACAACGGCGATTTCCCACCCCAGTCACCTCTTTTCCATCTTTGCCACTACTCTGATTTTTTCTTTAATATCCTTTCTAAATTGGGTAAATTACACTGACAATCCCTGAGATTTTACCCCCTGTTAGATTTAAATGACATATTTGTCCTCTAACCTTTATACATATAAAATAATAAAATAATACATACATTTATTTCATATCATTTCAAGGGAAATATCAATCATCTTCTTTGGTTTAACTCGCACAAAAAATTGAGTTTTTTATTTTTTATTTTTATTTTTTATTTTTTGTGTTTTTATTTTTATTTTTATTGAATTTCTTAATATTTTAAGTAATTTTTTTATTTTTAGTTTTTAGATACACCTAATCTAGATATACTTAAGAAAGTATAATATTTTGTGATTTTTTTTTTTAAAATTCACCAAACACAAAAAATAAAAAAATATAAAAATTCAATACATTATCTTAAATTGTTTCAATAGATTTTTTTAATTTTTTTTTGTGCAAATTTTATACTTTTTACATATATCTAGATTAAATTGATCTAATCTAGATATAATGGTGGAAATAAAAATGAAAAATTATATTCATATATAAAAATTTATACAAAAATATCATAAAGATATTGTGATGGTGATATTATTGTATATAAATCATGTTTATGGGTATTTTGTTTTAAAGTGAAAGGTCACCATTAAGTTATAGGGAGCTTCTATATACACACACCTAATCCCCTCAATACACACACTTAATGATATTTAATTTTATTACAATTTTATCCCTAAATGAAATTACCATTTTAGACACCATTGTTAATTGAAAACATTTCAATGCACAACTTCACATTGTTGCATCGTGTGTGTAGGAGCACTGGTTTGGCATGCTTCTTTGAAAATTGCTTTGGCATTTCTGTAGGGTTTTCATTTTTTACAAAGGGCTGTGGCATTTCTGTGGGGAAAATATCATTGTGATGGAGGATTTGTCTTCTGAAAATCAGCAAATAAGTATTCATGTGAAGCAGAGCGAAGGAAATGTGAGTTTAATTTTTTTTTTTTTTCGCAGCGTCGTTCGGATAACCAGAGCCGAATTTTGTTATTTTGTTCGGAAATGTACTACCGAAATAATTATGTATTTTCGGAAGTTGATGTCCGAAAAAAGTGATAAATTTCGGAAGTTGTTGTCCGAAAAATGTATACAAATTCGGAAGTTGTTGTCCGAAAAAAGTTAACTTGTACAACATTCAACTTCCGAAATTTGAAAAAAAATTCGGACAACTACTTCCGAATAAAGTAAATTTTTTTTTTTCCATTTTATATTCCAAATTTGCAAACTGCAGTTGTTGTCCGAAAAATGTATACAAATTCGGAAGTTGTTGTCCGAAAAAAGTTAACTTGTACAACATTCAACTTCCGAAATTTGAAAAAAAATTCGGACAACTACTTCCGAATAAAGTAAATTTTTTTTTTTTCCATTTTATATTCCAAATTTGCAAACTGCATACCAAATTTACAGTTTCAAATTGCAAATTAATCTTTATAATGCCGTCACTAAGTCAATCTTTATGAGGTATGACCACTAAGTCAATTGATATTTGGTGCAGGTTTTGTTGCAGCCAGGCCATCCAGTTCCTCATATTGCCACTAATTGGAGAAAATACTGTCACCCTTGCGCTGTGGACTGGGATGATGCATATGTGCGTCGCATTCAACATTTCAAGGACATTATTCATGATAATGTAGCTACTCGAGAGACTTTTGATGTTGTTGATGTCGCATGACACATGTATGCATTTGACAATGTTACAATTATGGAAGAAATTAATGAATGTGTTTTTTATGTTGATGTGTTATATTTTGCAATGTGGATTGAATGTTATCGACCATTGTTACCATCCATTGTAATAAGAAAATATCATTTACAAAATCAACGACCATTGTTACCATTTCATTCTAATAATAAAAGGTCATTACAATACCATTGTTGTCATTCCATTCTAATAAGAAAATATTAACCACTGTTACCATTACAACAATGTCATCTTACAAAAAACACCAAACAATATTCATCAACTAACAAAATAACATGTAACAACATAACATGTCACGAATCAGCTGTATGCCTACGCCTAGGCCTACGACTGTATTGTCAATAGTCGCAAGATGGAAAGTGATCTCCGCAGAACTAGGTCCAGCAGAACTAAGTCCAGCTTCGTCAATTGTTGCTGACCTTCAGGAACATGTGTCTAGCTCTCGATAGCTTGGGTAAAGTCGATAAGAGATTGGCGAAATCCCCTCGCTGATAACCAGCCGTCAATAATAGGATGTGGAAATCTGCAGTGCATGTTGCAATTACGCTGCGTTTGAAAAGGAATATTCACATTTTAGGGAACATTATCAAAAAAAAAAAAAAGTAAGTTACATAATGCATCAGAGAGGATAATAGATTACATCCGCATGTTTCGCTGAAATCCTGAATGTCATGGACACCGGATTCATCAGTGTGTCTCGACACTATAGGTGCGTATATTCTTATACCAAACCATGTAACCCGTACACAATGCCAAGGCTGGACAGAACTGGTGTGCTCCTCCGTTTGCCAGACAACAGTGTACCCAAGCTCCCCAATCTATCCACAGTATCTGTTACATGACGGATATAATCGTGTAATATGTTGCCTCGTGCACCACAACTGGGAGCTCAGCGTGCATTTGGGATTGGTTTGAACCCTGCCAAACTGCTCAAAACTCTATCTGGACTGATAGGGTTCGACCAACGTCTAAAGGCACGTTTAAGCACCATGAGTAGAAACGTAACCGGTTTACATGATGCCGGTCTCTGCAGCTGCGTGGTAGGATCCCAAATAACCTGTAACGTAAAAGTGTTTTTGCATTAAAGTACATAAAGGGTAAGATAAATGAAAGTCTTAAAATTATCGCAGGATGAGTAAACTTACATCAGTAGCTACTAAACTGTCAAGCTCGACTCGAAAAGATTTCAAATGGTCAATGGAGGAACCCGCCTCTCTTCTAGATGCCCAATGGTACACATGTGGCATGTCTTCATTGTAGCCCATGTTCTGATGAGGTCGGAATGCTCGGAAGTGCTCATAAATCCACGCCTCCAAAAGAGTCATATAACAACCCATCTGCTTACCCCAGACGGCTAGCAAACCCAACTGTCGATATAAAAATGCTAATGCAGCAGCACCCCAGGCATAAGTATGTATGGATACCAATCATCAACAAGCCGAGGTAAACAACGGGAACCCTGCCGCCACTCTTGTCACTGAAAGAGTGTACATCCCAACAGAAACAATAAATAAGCTCTTGCAGCGCACTGTATAGCCTCCTCAGGGTCTGAATCTGTGACACCAGCAAACTGACTTCGCAACCATTCAAGCCTGACTGAATTGCCACCAGCAGAATAAACCTCTTCATATGCTGCACGTTCAGTAATCCCAAGCCATAAACGAGTAATGTAACTCCATGATGATCTGTCACATCTGGTATGCTAACTGATTTGCCTACAATGGGAAGGCCAAGGAATAGTGCCAACATCATCAGGGTCAAGGTCAATCTCACCAACGTTCATGTGAAATGTGTTCGTCTCAGGTTGCCATCTCTCAACAAAACATTGAGACTAGAAGCTGTTGACGAACCGATAAGTGCAACGAGCTAACTGTGACAGTCCAGACTGCTCAATAATGGCTTTGAATCTGGTGTTGTTCTCTACTAACCACCATGGCCATGCAAGGATCTTCGAAAGAGTGATTATGACACT